GCCGTTGGGGATCCCTTCATGCAGTCCCGAACGCAGTGCTCCTCACGTGATCCCTGATAAGGCGTCATTCACCGTGCTTTCTTGCGTTTCAACCTCTCGAAGTCGCTGTAAAAATCCAGGGAAAGAGGCCACCGAATGTTGGATAGCTTATTGACCAAACACAAAATTCCTTGGGGTTTAATCTGGGAATGTGTTTTTCAGTACTCAGATTTTCTTTCAAGAACAGGTGGAGTTCCTCAGAACGGAAGACAATCGACTGTCGTACTGAAATTCTGAATAACGCCTTTATATATATATATATATATATATATATATATAGATTATATATATATAATATAATATAGTAACTATTCATCATATTCGCCACATCGGGTTTATAGGTAAATAGTACTGTGGGGGCGCACGGCGGCGACGGAGGCCAGACCATTTTGAATATGGTATCATGTATTTAATTAACGATATTATGGTTCAATTGATTTAGAGCTTTCTGACTAGTTAAATGACCAGTATATCAGCATTTTTACATATTTACAAAGCAGGATACACAGTTCCTCTAGCTTCCCCCACATACGGATCTATGTGTCTATATTCAATGGGGCATCTTATTGTATTTCGTATCCGCTTCAAACCACCACATGCAGTTTTGACTGCCCTCAAGAGAAATGACTACACCTAAGATTAAATTTGTATCATTTCTCTCAAATGTGATCTTAATTCAGATTGCCAAAAAGGGAGTTCGCCTCGTCTTTTTGCAAGTCCTCCAACTTTGAGATTGAGGAGATTGAACAAATTCATCATCAGTCATTTATCCTAAATTTGTTAAATACAGCAACCTCCCGACGAGGAAGTCTAATACAAGATACCATCCTCCTAATAACCTGTGTTTTAAAAATCGTCGGCATGTAACCATTTGATAGGTTTACTCTATGTAAACATTTTCTTAAATAAACAAATAGTGTATATAAATATTAATATAATGCTTGAAGTAGATTAAAAATTGTCATTCCAAATTTTAGTTGGTAAACACGTACGAGAGTACTAAGGTCATTGCTTTTACCGTTTTTGTGTTATTTATTTACAAAATTACATTTTCATTTAAAATACAAGGGAAAACGAAAAAATTAAAGGTATTCACAAACTCAATTATCTATTGTATGCATTTTCAAAGAAAACGGAACTGCAATAAATATTATATTCAAGTGATTATTAAGTACAATTATAACAAACATGTTTAACAATAACTCGGTATAAATACCGGTTGAGCAATAAGCGGTAAGGAATTAAGGAAAAGATAAATACATCGGTGACAGGCGATAATATAATAATTTTTTTGGATTTGTTTACTGCAGATTTACGAAATGAGACGTGTCTATTTTCAGTTGAAGAAACTTTAGTAAACTAAGTTTTATGTTTGACAGGACAACATCACGCAAATTCATGTAGAAAGACGTTCGCACCGAAATTACTTAGTTTTTGGGGTAGAATTTGCATCTACAATAAAAATATATTTCAATAAATTATCCATGCATCACTCACGATATTAACGTCTGCTGCCTAGTTTAAGCATAAGTGAACGAATCCCGTAAAATGTGAACATTTTATTTCACGCAATTATTTTGAAGGATGCGAACGTGCGTTTTGAAAGATGTGCATACATTTCCCAAATGTGGAACCCTCCGATTGGACTTGCAGATGAATGCAAGATAAATGCAGTTTTCGTGCGACGATATTTTTAAAATATTATAGGAATTGATGGCTTAAAGCAATCTGCACAGATTATTCAAGTTTGGTAGATGATTATGAAATTACATACTAATAATATTGACAATAATGTTATATGTAAAACTGTATGAATTCTTGAGTTTGCTAGCATCGAATTTGTACAATACCTATAACTAATGTAAAAGTTGAGGAAATAAAATATAATTATACTAGAATATGATGAAGAATGCATCCATTCTGAGCATTTAAAATAAAATTCATTTAGTATATGTTTATCTACTACACTTCCGATTCTTTATTTCGTTAGTAGAAAGTTAAATTATTTTATTTCGTTCGCCTCTCTTCGAAGGCAAATCCGAACAGCGCTGGGATTCACCGAGTCGTATGAAAAACGCGCGCAGAAAGACGCCAAAGACTCCAGTTAGATGCAGCACGATAAGGTGATGTCGCCCAAGGGGCAATTTACGAATATTTAATGGAGGAAAGAGCGGCCGAGCCCGACATCGTAATTGCTCAAACGGCCGCAACGCAGCGCGCCGTGCTCTGTGCTTTGAAAATGGCCGCTGTTGTTCTTATGACATGACAAAGTCTGGGAATATTTCGACATGAACTAATGGGCGTGAAATAACCAGAGAAAGTAATTTCTCGTGATGCATAAAGCATAAGGCGGTACATTCTCTCAACCAAACTGGGGTATTTCTCGCACGAAAGACAGTAAAATATCCGACGATACCTAATCTTACTTCACGTGTTCAATACTCGTGTACTTAATATTATATGTCAAAAGCTTGCACTTAATAGTTAAGTATCAGTTATCTCTGTCCACGTGTTCTTAATATATATCTTAAACATTTTAAGAATATTCCAAAATAATAAGTCACTATGGACAAATGAAAGCCATTTAAGAATTTCCAGTAATACAAATTACTGAAGGTAATGCATATTTAAAGAGTCATATACACAAAAATATAGCAAGAGGTAAAAAATGGAATGTTACACATACTGGACACGGAGTGCCTAAAAGAAATCATGTGTCTGGCAATTACATTTTAGTGAACAGTATTTACTAGATAGTTGGAGTTCGGAATATTATACGATACTGACTCCTTATCTATTATCACCCTATCATGTAATAGACATATTACATAATACAGTATTACTATACCTCATTATAACATTGATTCTATTATTAAAGAATTAAGCGCAAGTGAAATAAGAGAGAAATGGACTGTTATAAATATTTTTATTCCCATATGGGAAGAAACACGAGAACAACGAACACTAACGACTATAAAGACCAATGAAATAGTAATATGTCACTGAGCCTCCATCAACACGGTCTCGAATAATACCGAAGGACATGAATGAACGGATTCAAGAATCACGAAGGTTAACGTAAAACTATGAAATCTGTTACCTTCCGAAAAAAATTCCATGGCTTACTTTCGACACAACTGCGACATGCTATCATTCAATCACATCTAAAATACTTCACATCGCTTCCCATTTGACAGAGAAAGTTCAAGAAGCCGATGCTCTTCTTCCGATAAACCTTCTTCGTTCCGAGAAGACAGCGTTCCCATAGCGCGCCGTGTAAATAGAACCTGTTTCGCGCGCGGGGCGTCAGTCATGTCGACTCGTCAAAACAAATGCAGCGCGGATTACATCTTAATGCGCATTGCAGGTCCCGCGTTCGCCGCGACCTCTGAAGAGCGCCGAGCGCTTGAAGCCCCGTGAAGGATGGGGCGCGATTAGAAAGACGGCGGTTGTGACGCGGACGTATATTCTCCATTAACGGCGCTGGCAAACCTGAAAAGCGAGTTTGCTCCTCTCCCTCTCCCTCTTTTATATCTCCCTCTTTCTCTTCTTATCCCTCTATCTCTTTTTGTCTTCCTTGTTTTCTCCCCCCCCACTCTCTCTTTCTCCTTTTCTCTCTTTCTCCTTTTCTCTCTTTCTCCTTTTCTCTCTTTCTCCTTTTCTCAGCGCACGCGGTAGCGTCTGCTTTCTATGAGGCGGCCGCCATCGGAGATATTGAATTCGAGGAGAAACGTTTGAGCACAGTTGAATTTCATTGGCCAACATAGTCGAAGGTACGACAAGAATTCAAGTTGAAGTCTTTAGACCTTTGCGGCCATCTTATAGTGGTCTTCCTCAGGGCTAGTCTGCGAATCTGCTAGGCAGGCCAGCCCTGACGAAGACCACGATAAGATGGTTGACACGTCGGCAACACAACCTTCCACGCGGCTTCACCCAGGCAGACAAGATCACAATTTACAAGAATACAATTTCATTTCCCAGGTTCTAGAGAGATATAATGGGGAACCCAAAATGCATAATATATTGCAGATTATATTTAGTTAATACCCTGGCGTTAATGAAGAAATATTATATATGAAAAATATTCAGAATTTAAGTTTCATAAGAATCAGGGGTCGTTAAGAAGCTATTGAAAGACCATAACCAGTTGATATAAATTCGGTATAATTTAATTCTGCGGAAAAAACTGCTTCTGAATCTAAGAACCGAATTTAATGCGTAGGGAAAAGGTAGGCTAAATTCTCTTACAGAGACAGAAAAATAAAATATCAGAGATTATTAATAATTCGAATAAAAATATAGAAATGTATTGAGTTTCCTAAATTCAATTTAATTTAACAGCAATTATGAATCTGCTATTCCATCATTCACTGATCATGGTTTATAACAGCATTTATATTCTCACAAATTCTATTCTGACGTGTTTTGTAATTTTATTCATTGAATCTGCTATAAAAATACAAAAATTACTCCAAATGGATCGTTTCGGCACACCTGATAGAATATTTTCAGAGCAATTTCTCCGAACAAAACCCGTCTTTAGTTGCGTGAAGACCAACATGTTATATAATAGAAGAACTTCTCTGGCTTCCTCGAGATTCTGGTAAATACTCACTTCTTATATTACGTTCATTAAGACAGGTTTCAGTTCCAGTAAAAAATATTTTCTATAAATTACAATTGTAGAGTCAACTTCCAAAATTTAAAACAAAACATTCTCGACACTTGGAAGAGATTTATGTTTTTCATATAAAACTATGTCAAGAGGGTTACAAAACAAATTGAAAATTATAAATATGTCACGTAATGTTTTTATATCTCTTGAATCATATTTTCTTATGTTTTGCGTTCCTCAGCACTCCATTCAGGCAAGTTACATGGCATGGGCAGTATAACTACCTTGTAGTTTAAAAGAGGTGCATGAACTGAAAAGTGTGTTGAATTAAGTGAGAGTCGCTTACCAGAGTCGTAAGAATGTTGCCTCATTTCAGACCGGTGTAGAATCCAACGACAACGCTCCAGATCCAGGCCTGACCCACCGACTATTCCCCGCCTCTTGCACAATTCTGGAACAAGAATCATAACCATAACTTTGACCTGGATAAGTGGAACGTTTTCAAAAATTAGCCGATGGAAAACTTCATTAGAAAAAGATGCTCTCACGTAGACATTTTATCCCAGTTAAAAATTTTCCTGAGTATTAATGATCAAAATTCATTGAAATGGTGCATTCCTCTGGTCGAGCATTTCCTAAACGAAAAATTCTAAAGCTAGTGTAAGGCCAGTGGTAGCAAAATAATTTTTCATGCGGCATGTCATCGTAACATTGATCTCAGGATATGTCTCCTAACGTACTATTAGTATGAACGAGTTTTCTATAAATTTTATGATGAGAATATTTTTCAAAGTAAACAAAAACGTTGAAACTTTCCATATCAAGACACTTCATTGGAATGAGGTACAGGAGTGCTCCGAACCACCTCAACAGAGAAGTAGAAGAAGAAGAAGAGGAAGAAGACGAAGAAAAAGAAGAAAATGACCATGACAAAGTTGATCATCCAAGTACTACATGCCTGGTAAGATTGCGTGCATTCTGCAACAAGGTAGTTAAACAAACTGAGACCAACTAAATTAATGGTAATAATCATACAGCAACGGTGTACTTGAAGCATTTCAGAGTACACTTGAACATAGGTCGAGATTCATACTTAACCCTTTTATTAACAAAATCCGACCAATATCTACATCCAGCTAACTTGTACATCGTAGTAATACAATATATCAACAACACCTTTTAAATTACACGTAGCTGCATTGCCAACGCGGAGCATGGAACATTATGTACGGCATCAAAATACAAAAAGGGCAAAAAACTTCACCCCAGAGCAATTAGTTTAATTAGCAACGAAATGAAGCAAAATAGTTTAATTTCAGAGAAATGTATAGGTAGCAATACCCAAAACATTTGTAAGTGAAATACATCACAACTATTGGCAAAATATAGCAAGAATTGTCAACGTTCGCATACTTTATTAGTAGAATCTTGGATACATAAGGCCACCTAATTTTTTTATTAAGGTACTGGGTATTATTTATTTGACGAGGAGAACTGAATTGATTTTGCATTTTTCAGAATTGATTGATTTTTATCAATCTATTTTACCTTGACTCATTTGCAGTAATCAGTCAGATTTATTAGTGACGATGTAAAGACGTGAAAAAAGTTCAAATCTGGATATAAATGAAAATCAGTGTGAATTTCCCTATCTAGTGACAACACAGATATTTTTAATACTCTCAAAACAATTTGATCTATATCAGAGGTTATTATGTTCTAATGTTTGGCTATAAAATGGTGAAGTTGGCAATACTGAAAGGCAGCTCCATAAATTTTGTCGTTGCTCGAGGCACTCCCTAGCTACTCGCCGAGTAGTAGTCGGCCAGTCGAGCTGTCATAAAGAGCCAGAAAAAAACTGAGATGAAAGTATAATGGCTAGGGGGCATCTAGAGATTTCTTCTCGTTTCTCTTGTTCCATTGATTCTTCTAACGACGTACATCGATTACACTCAGAAACAGCAAAGCAACGCGAAGTGAGAAAGTATAACATAAAGAAAGTATCACATAAAGAAAGTATATCTATCTTGGTTAAATGGAATATCCTTATAATAAATATGCTTATGTAGGAATTTAATTTAATGAGGTGGCATTCTAATTTTGTAGCTCGTGTTTACATCAAAGGGTAATGTGGGTCGGCACACTTAGCTATAAGCAAAATATGTAATGCATTACATATGCAAAGAAATAATGAATCTACATATTAAATTTAGTTATGTTATTACTTTGATTTCTTTGTGTTTTAATGCCATGTTTATTAAAATGGAAATACGAAACGAGTAAATATCTTACAAAATGGTTTGCTGTCTCATTAATTCAAGTATTAATAGTCCCCAAACCGTATCTCACGTCCATCATTACACTAAAGTCGTGATTCCGGGCAAACATCGACCTGCAAAAGTGAATTTCCTCTCATGAAAAAGCAATGTTAGACGGACGATAATAAATAAACAGAAGTGTCACTTTAAAACAAATAGAAGTAGTTGGGCGGGATGCAATATAGTAAGTCATATTACCACACCCTATTCAGACAATTTCCTATTTTCACTATAATTGTCACAGTAGTAACACATATACTAAACCATTTGTTGAAATAAAACAAAAATGAACATTTCTCTTAAATCCAAAATCACCCCGTGTAAATCGAACCGCTGTATTAGTATTGCAGAAAAAACATGTAATGGTGGCACCCATGCAAGGGGAAAGTTTCCGCGATTCATCACGTATACAGTATTACACTGAGACTAAATGAATCCTTGCACACATGCCGCTCGTTGTAAATCATTGTTTAAAGGTGAAAACATCTCCATTCTCCAAAATCAAGTTCGAACGTTTCCGATAACACAAGATACGAGGTGAAGATGCCACTCAAAACGCAGTTGAGCGAATACAAGTCTTTCATTGTTCAAGATGACAGTACAAGAAACGGATCTCGAAAATATGGTTTTATGAATGTAACAGGCATTGTTTTACTTTCTCGCCTTCCTTCGTAAGAAGAGAAAGTTTTGTAATCATGGACCGAAAATCGGCAAGTTTTCGTCAGATAACCTCTCATAGCTGGGGCCCTGGTAACGAAATGTGGATAAATCGTGAACCTATAAGTCGTAAAATAATTCCTCGAACATGTTGGTTAGTTAGAATCCATGTTTTGTGGGTCAAGGATACCAAAAAAATCAATTTACGGCAATATGTCCATCTATGAATCTTTCAGTCAGCTGTGGTCAACTCTATCACCTAAACCGTTCAGACGAATTTCTTCAAAATATATTCCCCCAAACGATCCATACCAAGGGTGTGCATCTTGCAAAGCCTCAAAGATCACAATTAAAACCTTTAATATGGTTGCGGGCCATATTTTCATTACTCGCGCTATCCACACCTGGCTTCCCCATATTGCTGATCTCGGCATTTTGCCCGGCTGCTCTGAAACAGGGGGTGCGAGGGGATAGAGTAATGGAACCATGTTCTATGTAAACAGTACCACAATGTTGAAACAAGTACGAGATATCAAAGCAGGAGCTATGAAAAGGAATTAAGTCCCGAAATTAGATTAAATCATGCACGATTAGTTTCTAATCTTAGATGACAAAAGCTAAACGACAAATCTAATTAGACCTACAGTAACGGAAGAAGAACTGTAACCCCCACACACATTCCGCACACCGTTTTTTCTAGTTCTGGGTTCCCTAGCGATCGTAAGTGTAACTGTAATGTAACAAAGAAAACTTCCTTCATGTACCTACATCAAGGAGCAATGATTGAAAGTAAGTGGAGAGCACGTATGAGTCCTGGAGCTTCGACAGCGAATTACATAAATTACACCCAACGAAAATGAATAACCTAGAAGAATAATGAGGAGAAATAAAAATCAAATCCAATTCAGTGCAATTCTGTTGACGAAACACGAGCGCCGTAAATCAATAATCAATCCTGCGATTTTAGCCGATACTGCCGGTCCGCCCCCGTTCCAACGTGTGGTACCGGTTTCCGCAGCGGTGGTCCCGGGGAGGGGGGGAGGGGCGCGGTTGGCTCGCAGCCAGTGACATAACGCCCGGCCGCTACGCTGCACCGCTGCTTTGATGTGCAGTCAATTTACGACCCCCACTCCAGGCCCCACGGTTCGCGCCCGCCGCGGGGAGCCACGGCGTACAGTGGGCCGAAACGACCTCTCAAACGCGGGAAAATTTCGTCCGTGATTTCTTAGCAAGTATTTCGTAGATTATAAAAAAACATACAAATGTATAATGTGATGAAATGAAAATTTAAAAAATGAAGCGAAAGTCTTGATTTACATTCGCGCGATTCTTGGGACATTCACCAGAACAGTGGGTTAAAAACATAACTTATGTGATTTCAATGCTAGCTCTTATTATCTATTATTATCATTATCATTATCATTATCATTATCATTATTATTATTATTATTACTATTATTATTGCATGATTCTTATTATTTAAAAATTTCCATGATATGCGACCAAGTGACATTATTAGCACACTTTTTTTATTAATCAAGTAAAACACATTAAAAAAGTACTATTTTGAGTAATTTACAATGAATCCCACCTTCTTGAAGGAATGAAAGAAATAAATTCTTACGAACGGGAAATTATGGTAGTTCGAAAATAAATTTTATTTCTTATAATTGCACACTGTTAAAATTGTCCGAAGGTGATAGGAATGCAGAAATAGTGTATTCTGATACTTTTTGGAAATTATATCAATGATGAAGAATCAGGTCCTTCAGTACAATATTTTCTATAAGACGTAATGAACAACACTGATCTTATGATTTGTTCAACTCGTGGAATGGCTTATGATTGAGTATTATTTTCTTACTCTTTTTCTCAAACCGTTATTTCATTATAATTTTTTTTATTTGCACTAGTTATTACTTCGTTTGCTATTCGTACCTTCCTACCCATTTCGGCCTAGTGTGTTTGGCTGCCCAGCTCACAGCACGAGGCGTGGAGCGACCTGTAGACGAAGCGTTGGCGGGGGGGAGGGGTTAGAGAGCTCTGCATAACCGGTTTGAGCGCAGCTGCCGCTGCCTCCGAAGCTGCTGCTGCTGCCGCTGAGCAGCCTTGACACTCGCTGTCGCCGCCCTCACCCACGCCTCTCCACCTCCACCTCCTCTCCTCCAACACCTCCCCGCATCCACCTCCCCGCTTCCACCTACCACCAACGCCACTTCCACCAACAACTGATTCTGTGGCCCCGCCAGCGCCTCCTTTTACCTCGTTTCCATGGGAGTTGGGTTTTCCTCCTCCTAATGTGTTCTGGCTTCAGAACGGACTCCCTGATAGAGTTTTATGGCGATTGTGTTAACCAAAGATAGGGCATAGGTCTTCTCTGTGTAGGTGAAAACCTGTTTATTCTTCACGTACTTCATGATGAGTCAAGGATATTTCGATGTCGCAGCTTTCGATCCATCTTCTCTTTCGATCTTCG